GGGAGGGGAAGGGTGACGGCGCCGGAGGGGGGACYGCAGGACTGCGGGGACTGCGGGTCACTGCGGGAGGACTCAGTGGTGCTGGGGAAGCCCGAAGGGCTACGCAGGAGGGAGGGCAGGAGGGGGGCGGCAGAGGTGACGTGTCCCCCTCGGGAAAACGAGAGCAGCAGGCAGGGATAACAGGAGGCAGATGAAACAGCTAAACCTTTCAGCTAGCGAGGTATTTCCAGAGCAAGTTTCCTGGCAGAGCCTTGGGTTCCCGAGTCCTCACGCTCGGTGCACTTCCCCAGCCCCACTGCTGCCACGGGAGCACAYTGGTAGGACTAGCGCTTGCCTTACGTGGGGAAAGAAATCCATCGGTGCTGCTGCCGGGGATGCCAGAGGGATGTGGGAGCAAAGGAAGAGCCAGGTGCCAGGGAGGCAGTGGAGCTGTGGGGACGTTAGCAGAGAGGAGCCAGCAGAGCAATCGGGTTGGAGGTGGCGGAAGGGCATCCCAGGGAGCAGGAGTGGAGCGGGGCTCTCAGAAAGGACCAGCCACCACCAGCCCCAGAAAGGGAAGGACACAAGTTACTTTGTTTTGTTCAACGAGAGCTTGTAAATGACAAAAATGGGATATGTCATCTGAACTGGAGATGCAGAAAAGACCTCTAGAAGTTGAGCAAGGCTTTCCCTTTGATCGACCACCTCCTAGCAGAAAGGTGGTGTTTATGTGCGTGTACACCTCCCATACGTGCTCTCTCTGCAAGGCCAGCCAGCCTACATCCATGTAGCACTTCATTAGCCATCCCAGCCACTCTCTGCAGAGCAGGAATGAGGCAGGGTACCCCAAAACTCCCACCCTGACACTCTTACATGCTCATCCTGCTCTTCTGTATCCCTTGCCTGCATCCTGGAAGCAGGAAAGCATCTCGCCTGCTTTGCGAAGGGCTGTAGCAAATCCTCTGGGCTGAAGCCATTGCCGTGAGCATCCTACAATACAAGATGCTTTCTGTTTGCTATTTCTTACCATTAAACCCCTGTGAGCTGCCTGACAGGGACAGCGAGTGCTCTGAGGTGCCCTTTCCTCCTCAGGGCTCTCTGCTGCAATGTTCAGATGCAGACAGGAGGGAGCCTGGGCTTTTTTATTGCTCCCTCACCTCCCCCAGCTGCTAGGACTGGCTGTGCAACACTGCTTTTCAGCACACTCCTCCTCTGCTGCCAAGCCAGGGCACTAGTGATGCTCTGCCAGTGCTCTCTGCTGCTGGCAGCACCCACCTCCTGCTCACTTACCTGCTCTGCCTGGCATGTGCRAGAGAGAGGGAGCCCAGGCAGCTGGGTATGGAGACAGCTCCTTGCCTAGAGCTCCGCATCCCCAAAGCAGGAAGAGCCACACAAGATCCCTGCTGCACGGAGCAGGGCTCGGCTGGGGCTCCTTGCCAACAACCACGCATGGTGGCAGGTTGGCTCAGGGGTGTTCACAGAATCGCAGGACAGTTGAAGTTGGAAGGGACCTCTAGAGATCACCTCCTCCAACCTCCTGCTCCAGCAGGGACACCCAGAGCACKGGGCACAGGGCGGCATCCAGGCGGGTTTGGAAGATCCCCAGAGAAGGAGACTCCACAGCSTCCCTGGGCAGCCTGTGCCAGGGCTCTGTCACCTGYGAAGTGAAGAAATTTTTCTTAATATTCACATAGACCTTCCCATGTTCCAGTTTGTGCCCACTGCTTCTTGTCCTGTTGCTGAGCACCACTGAAAATAGTCTGGTCTCATCTTCTTTGCACCCTCCCACTTATATATATTGATAAGATCCCATTGTTCCTGCTGTCAAATGAGAGCACTGTGGAGCATTAACTCCCACGAGAAAAACCTAGTTGGAGCAGACCACAGGATTTCAGCCGAAATACCTGAGATTTCCACCTGCCACGGGAAATGAAGAATGCCCCRTTTGTGGGATGTCACAAGGAGGGCTGCGCAGAGCAGTGACAATGTGCTCCAGGAGAAATTCAGCTCCATCCTCCCTGCCTTTCCCTGCCCTCTTTCATCTCTTAAGCACTGAATTTGCTGGATAACAGTGCATTCAGTGTGAAAGTGCTGTCTAGAAAAAGAAAGTGTCAGAAGGACAGAAAGGTTTTGCCTGGAGAGGATTCCATGTACTAAGATCCAGAGACTAGAGCACTTGTACCTCATGTAAGCCTGGCAGCTCTGAGGTACTGGCTCTAAATTCATGGACCAGTTCAAAGTCAGTGGGGAATCTGCCATGAGTTTTGAACTTCTCAGCCCCACCTCAAGCRAAAAGGAGCCTTTACTGCTTTATAGAAATCAGGGACTGGAAGAATAGCTTGTGCTGTAGATGCAGAATGCACCCGCTCTGATGGAGCTGTGCGAAACAAGGCTGACAAAAAAAAAGAAAAAGTAAACAGACAAATAGGTGCCTTAAAGCACAGGGGAAAAGCCACTGCACCTGCAAATTACCTGCAAAGAGGGTCCAAAACAGCCTGTTCAATGCAAAGAGCGAGTCGGAGGGTGTYGAGTTCACCACGTTCCCCGACCCTTGCAGCTTCGATGCTCCGAGCTGCACCGAGAGAGGGAAGTGTGTGAGGTGTCTGAGCTCATTCAGAGAGTTTTCATTTGACTAGCACTTAAGTGGAATAACTGAGTCACAGGCACAGCAACCGCAGCGGGCTCCCGCAGTGCTGCTCCGGAGGAGAAAGAGAAGCCCTCTTTGCTGGGGCAATCCATGCCAGAGAAACGCATCTGGGAGGAGGGCAGAAAGCGAGAAAGCAGCCGAGCAAGGAGGTAACCAAAGTCAAAGCGCAAGCGTGTGCAAGAGGGCGAGAGGGCAATTAGGTATGTCAAGTGAAAAAGGAAGTGAAATTGCAGTAGGGGGGAACTGGTGGACAGTGACTGAGGCCAGGTTTTGGTCGTGACTTTCACTCGCTTGGACTCCTCCAGCCCCCACAGCGCTTTGGGGAGGACCGAGGTCCCAGCGGGGGACAAGCCCGAGCCCAGCCACAGCTGGGGCTCACCAGAGAGGGCCCTCCCCAGTGAATAAACTCGGCTTGAGTGGCCACAGCCTTGCAGCCTGCCAGCTCACCGGTGTCAGGAAGGAGCCTGAGAGAGAAGGCAAGTGCACAGTGACGCACTACCTGTGGCCCTGGCAGCTTTAGAAAGGAAAGAAGAGAGTCTGATCGGTTCATTTTGGTGGAAAGAAGAGAGCCTGATGGTTTGTTTTGATGAGGAATGAAATTCTGGAGGAGGAGGGGAGCAGAAATCGGGTGGAAGGGTTGTAGCTGGGCCAGTGGCAGCCAATAAGGCTGATGAAATGACCCATTCACCAAATCCCTGATGGCAGTGAGTGGCATGGTTTGATGTAGGTCGGACGTTGGTAGACACAGGGGACAGCATGGCAGGCAGACAAAATGGCTGGTTTGAAACAGTGGGGCCCTAAGTGTGCACGACAAGCTGCCCAAAGCGCTCCTGCCCTGTCCCAGGGTGAGCTGCCCTCCTTCGCTCTCCGATGAGTTTGCCCAGTGAGGATACCCACAGCTCCTCCGAGGCAGAGCATCCCCGTGGCCTTTCCCACCCTCCCATCCCACTCTCAGTCTAGGGCAGTGACTGGAAGGGACTTTGTTAGAGCAGGAGGTGGTAGCTTTGCAAGAATGGGCTTCTAGCAATAACGCAGAACAAGGATTCTGATGAATGTGGTAGGTCTCCTGTCAGGCAGCAGGCCAACAATGCAGTGTCTTGGTCTTTTTGCTATGGTGTGCAGGAAAAGGGGCATGAGATTTGTTTGGTACGGCTGAAGAAGATCCACCTRCAGATCTGAAATCATTGTTTATCCACTCAGGCATCAGCTGCAGACTTTGACACATGGCTATCAGTAGGTAGGAAACTTCTGCTCACAATCAGGCACACCTAAGACCCTTGAAAGTGCAWTTAGTGCCCTCCAACAGTATGGGGAGAGGGTATCCTTGGTGGGGCCTCCTTTCTCTATACACTGAGCAGTTACAGCAGAGCCAGTTTGAACCCCAGAGGTACAGGACATGGTGCCAGAGGGCTGAAAGACCAGGTCCTGATTGGGGATGTAGATAGCTTACTGAACAACCAGCTCAACTCTTTTGGGTCAGCCTCAGAGAGAGCCAGTGTCTCTGAGTTTGCACTGAATGTAGTGAGCAAAGGCAGTGCTCAGGGCTGATTTCTATCCCATTGCCTGAACAGGGAAACATTGTCCATCATAGAGCATGGACTACAACCACCACAGATTCTACCAAAAGAACTGGCAACTATCCCCATCCTGGAGCCCAGGCAGATTTCAGCCCAAGTAAAGTCTACCTAGTCAGCCCCTCCAAACAGCTCGCCAGGAGAGTGGTGCCATGACATGAGCAGTAAGCTCGGCCGAGCTGTGCCAAGACCATGACTAGGATGTGTCCCAAGAGCAGTGGGAGTTTCTAAAAGAAGAAAACTAGGCGCCTCTGTAGGCTTTTTTCCACAGGTCATTTTCTGCATTTTATATCCATCATGGATCCATGGCCTTGGGAGATGGGGCTTATGGGAGACTTAGACAGGGGAAGGTCATGTGTAAGTGCTGGAGAAAGGTGAGGAGGTTTTCACAGGCAGGGGTACAAACCAAAGGGACAAGGACAGGCTGGGGCTGAGGGTGAGTTCCGAGGGGACAGATGGTTGGGCTGGAGAAGAGTGAGGGCCAAGGGGATGGTATTGGCCAGGAAGAGTGAGGTGCGGGTTGAATACAAGGTTCTCCATAGATGGGAATGGCCAGAGGCTGCAGGCGTTTTGGACGTGCATTTTGGAGGACGGGGGTAGCTTGAGAATGCGTTGCATGGGCAGCCAGGGGTAGGGCTTCAGCGCTTGCTCTCCTCCTCCTGATGAAGATCCGCCCCGGGGGAAGCGCAGAGATCGCAAGCCCCAAGGGAGGAGACGCGGCTTGACAGACTGTATCTCCCTCTGCCACGGGCCCCAGGGCTTTGCGATTTCACACTTGGGCAGCCCCTCTCCACGGCGCCATGCAGGAGGACAGCTCTCGCGCTCACTCAGTCATGTCGTCGGGAAAAGCAGACGCCAGCACCTCCTGTCTCCCTTCCCAGTGCTTCGACTCCCTGACCAAGTCGTGTGTGAAGTGCCTCGATTTGTACAGGGACAACACAAGTAAGAGGGTGAAAGCGACCGCGTCCCAAGCACGCCAGGGCTGGGTGGTGGGCGAAGGGGGCTGAAGGGCCGCTGTGGGTTGGAGAGGAGGTCGGATCAGCAGGTAGAGGGGAGGGACCTTCTCCTGCAGAGGAGGTGGTATGGAAGGAGAGCCTCCTGTGTGGAGCAAGAGGAGAAGGGGTCGGGGCTGGGGGGAGAAGAGGCAGTGCCAGCTAGGAGAGGAGTGCCGGGACAGGAGGGTTGATCCATCCTGGAAGGGGGTTATAGCATGCCCCAGTGGCAGGGAAGAGCATGGAACACCGGGAGGCCCCATCTCCCACCCATCAGGTGAGGGTCCTTCAAGGCGCGAAGGCTGTTCATTGTAGGTGGTAGGTGTGCAGAGGTAAGAGACTGCTCTTTTTCGCTTTMTGAAAATACTGTCAAGCAGGGTTGTTGTACTCACCTAGAGCACATTGCCCAGGACCCTATTCTGACACTCGTGGTGTTTCCCTCCACAGCAGAGCCTGCCCATGCAGTGCCCACCTCAACCCCAATACCTTCAGCAGACGTGCCAGGCACAGTCGTGATGACCGTGGGCCTTGCAGTTATGGGGCAACTCCTGCTTCTGGTTGCCATCTGTGTCTTCCTGGCCTGGAAAGTTCGGAGACAGAGGAGGAAGAGAAARGAGCCAGATGAGGAGGCCAAAGGTAAGATATCCCTTGTATTCCTTATCACGGCACTCTGCATCTGCTCGAGCCAAAGGGACTATGTGACATGGGCATACTCAGCTCCTCCAAGGCACGTACTAAAGACCGGCCCATGCTGGTTCTTCTGCCTAAAGGTAGCACGTTGTCCCACGTGATATTCAGTCTGCCCTCACTGCAGACCCCTAAGACTTAACTTGGCTCCCGTGCACCAGGTTCTGGTGCCGTTTCAGATGCCCCAGGGCATCCTTCCTGGCCTCCAGCCACTGTTATGTCTCATTGGTTTTGTGCCAGCAGCACATTTGCAGATACCTGAAGGTGTTTCAGATGGCACTAGACAAGCCTGTTCGGGCAACTGAGTAACTGCCTAAGCGGCACTCTCACATGACTCTAGATAATCCCTTCTAACAGCTAATTCCCATCATCTCTTTCCAATGGGAGCCATGCAGAATTCTTCCTGAATGCATTTTTTGGATCCTGTTTTGCCTTTGCTTGCTTAAAGCACCCACTGGCACTGCGTCTCCTCTCCACGTGATGGTACTTTAAGAGCAAACAGCTTTTTAGCTTCCCTTCCATAAACCAAGCAAGTCAGGCAACTCAGGCCTGCCCGTAGCAACGAGTTTCCTAGTGTCCTAGGCCAGAGGAAGCAGGTTTAAATACTGTCCAGCTTTTGCTCACCACTCCACCACTTTGAGGCAGAATTTTCACATTTCTGTGGAAACAAAGGGAACAAAACTCGCAGTGTCGAAATTTCCAAAGCAGCCTCAWCCAGACTTCTTGAGTATGCATGAAATTTTAAGAATGCAAATATTTATGCTACTCATTTTCCGCCTTTGTATTTGGATAATCTGGAGAGCGCGTCTCTCCTTTGGTAGTCGGAGGGCAAAAAACAGATACGTGCAGCTCAAAGAGTCTGGGGTTTGGAGACAGTTGTGAACAGCTGGAAATGGCCCCTGAGGGCATCCCCTAAAAGCCTACATGACTCAATGAGGAAAGGGAGCCTCTCTGTAGGAAAGACCAAAAGAYCCAAAGGCCTCAGCAGTGTCTGGATCAGACCCCATCAGTGGGAGGCCACAGGGTTCACATGCTGCAGGGTTGTCCCCAAAGGCGACAGCAGCAGGACCCCTGCTTTATGAGCTGCAAGGGCTATAGCTGCAAGGAGAGATATAACTGTGGAGGCTCCTCCGTCTTCGACCTCCTGCACATCCTCAGGTGCCTGGTGCTCTGCTCCTGAGCCCGTGCAGGGCTGGGCAGCTCTGAGCACCCCCTCCTGCCTTCCCCATGCGGCAGAGGGCTTCGTGTGGCCCCGAAACACGCTGAGGCTCTGTGTGAAACACAGCTGCAGCCAGTTTCTGGCTAACAGAATAACCAGGATGGCCTTGCCCATGCTTCTTCTGGACATGCCGTCATCTCTTTAAAAATACATGAACATACAGATATTGTGCACATATATTTATTTCCCCTCGCCCTCTTCGTAGCCTCCTCTCCACCCAGCTGAGCACAGGCTGGGAGCAGGGGATGAAAAGACGCAGTCTGGGAATAAGGGGCTGRGCCCTGGCCTTTCTGAGGAGGCTTTCCAGGTGATGTCCCACCACCCACCAGGAGCTCGGCCTCCCGCGCCTGCCAGGCCGGTGAGGAGGAGGCAGAGGACAGGCCATCTCTGGGAGCTCCCTGACCCGCCAGCGCGTCCTGGGATGCAGCTGSCCCTACAGTCCCCACCTGTGGAGGAGGCCGCAGACGGGCTGGTGCCTCCATGAAGGCCCGTCCATCAGCTCCGGGGCGGCCATGGTCCACCCCGGCGCTGACTCACCCCCACGCTCTCTTCTCCGAAATGGTCTTGCTCCTCGCCCTGCGCTGCGGGCTGCCGGACCCCCGCGGGACGCTGCTGTGGCAGTCGCGCCGGGCCGCCCTGCCTCACCTTCACTGGCACCGGTGCCCACGCTGTGACTAAGAGGGGGAGATATTTTGTATTTTTTTTTTTTACCTGGGGCCTTTCCGTCGCAAGGCAGTACGCGGGGCTAAACTTAGCGAGGCTGCGACAGCGAGCGCTGACGCAAACGCTCGGGAAAAATACCAAGAATGAAAGAGGCGAAGGAAGAATCCAGCGGCAGGAGAGGGCTGGCAGCTGCTGGCTGCGCTAGCAAACGCGTAAGGGGCTGCGAGTGTGGGCCGGGCCCTCGGCTGTGCCCCCCACACACGCCCTCCGCCATGTCCTGCCCCTCGCGCCACCGGCCTTCCAGCTCCGCCGCGGGCCCATGCACCTTGGCGAGTCGTGGGGTGCAAAAAGTTTCTCCAAGAGGCTTTGTGGGGCCGAAGTTTCTAGCCAGCAGCATGTGTGTGCGTTTGAAGTGTGTAAACAAGTCTATTTTTAAGTCAGAGGCGGTCAGAAGAGGGTGAGACAAAAAGGGACTCGCTGCCGGCTGGCTGCGCTACCAGAACTATTTCGTGCAAAGGCTTGAAGTGCAAGTGCCAGTTTCTACGTTTTCCCCCAATACTATTTGGGGAAAAAAGAGTAATAATGAGCAGGGCTGCAGAAAAAGAAAGGGGAGGTTTTGCTCAGAAAAAGAGGTGCTGTGGAAACCATGAGGGTCCCTTCTGCTTTGCCCCAGTCCCATGCCCACCCTGTGTGCCCTCATGCCATGTTTGTCCCTCAGTGCCCCGTGCCTTCCCTTGCTCTCCTTCCCAGACCTGATAACCCCGTTTGCTTATCCTCTCTCAGAAAAAATGGACAGCGCCGTCGCCTCATCAAGCGCAGTCCAACAGGACTTCACGGCACTGGCAGCAGAYGATGACTTTGCTTTGGCCAAGTGCCCACATGTCAATGGAGCGGCAAAGGTTCCTGGACCTCCCAGGAAAGATGCAGAGAAGCAGAGGTTGTGCTGCCAAGGCAATCCTGGTGGCGATGTCATTGTGCTCTCTCCTTTGTCCCCCTGTCTTGAGGAGTGCAACCACTGCTTCCCGCTGCCGGCTACGGAGCTGGGGGCCACTGCCCTGGTCACCACCAAAACCACCCAGAAGACCTGCATCAATGAGGAGATGGCATGAGAGCAGGTGGAATGGAGTTGGAGCTCTCTGGCTTCTGCCTGCAAATACCAAGACTTTTTCCCTTGAGTGGATAAAGTGTTGCATGGAAGTGAGCTGAATCAGAACTAGGTTTCGCCTTGAGCAAGATCAGCCTTCTAGGATCATTGCCTTTCTACTTTCCCATTTGTGCAGAGTCCCAAATAAGCCAGTAGTCACTGGAGGAAGTCTAAGTCGATCATGCAAAGTTACGCTGAGCCAATAGATGCTGTGGTTGTGCTGTCTGGAGAGGCAGAGGAGATGTGACTGATGAGGAAGAAGGATTGCTGGGGGCTGCTGTGCCATTCGCAGGGCTGCAGAGCTGCGGGCATGGCTGTATGGGGCAGTCATGGTGGCTCTGTTGATGTATGGGGGATTTCTAGGGACAGGGGGCTAAAAGGAGGAGGAAAAAAAAGAGAGTGGAAAGGGAGTAAGAGAGTTAGGTTAGGGTCAAATCCCCCATCATGACGTTAGCTGGATTTTTGATACTGCCCTCAATAAAATAAGACTCATGACCATATGGAGCAAGCCTCATCCAGCATCTGCTCCATTCACAGTGCTGCCTTCCTCTGCCTTCTGCATGTCATACTACTCAGGTCTCTCCTCCCCCTGGATGCCCTCACTCTGTGGAAGGCATCCATTTACTGCCGCAAGACATGGCAGTCCCTGGAAACCCCCTCAGCAGCTGGGTAGCCAGGGGACTGGAAGCAAGTTTGTCTTCCTGAGCAGGGAGTGAAGAGAGGAGGAGAGGGAAAATCTCTCTCTGCTCTGACCTACAAGCACTTAAGTCAGAGAGGACCCGAGGCAGGCATTGGAGGTTGCTGGTCCGGAGGAGAACTGACTGTATAAGCTTGTCATTATGGCCTGAGACAACCATCACTTTCACTCAGAGTTGCTGCAAAACTACCGCGTGTCACTTGTGATGACAGGACTCACAGTGATGGATGCTTCCACGCTACATAAAGCCAGGCAGGGAGTGATGTGAGCGTGGGAGGGAATCACTTAATTTATGTGAGTGTCTTTAAGGGCTTGCTTGTGTGTGAGAATTGACCAGCACTGCTGGCCCAGGACATCTTCTCTCTGTAGATGATCTAGTCCACGTGTGAGCACACACCAGAGTGGCTTTATCATGCAGGAAACACTCCACTTTGAAAAYGAAGTCATTAGTCCAGAATGCACTCACTTTATTCCACCGCACTGTCTACACAAGGGGGTTTTGCCAGCGCAGTTAAATGGCATTGGCATAGCTGTAGCAGAACTGTTGATCCACAGTAATTATAGCAACCAATTCTCCTGGGTAAATAAAGCCCGGGAAATAGGGCTTCGGTGAGAAATCCTGCTGGTCCTGAAGGGGGTGATTAGAAAATTAGAAGTGCCTGAGGGGGGTTATTTGCATAGAGCACCATCCCAGCAGCAGTCCCAGTGAACTTTTCCGTCAGCAAGATGACTTCTTTGCCTCAGAGGCAACAAATGCAGAACCAACATAGCCAAGCAAAGAGAGAGACAKCACCACTGAGCAGCAGTATGACAGAGGCTTCTGTCTTGCTAGTGCCTGATTTCCAGTAGATTTGCTACTATTTTTAGCACCCAACCTCACTGTTAATTGATGTCCAGTCTTTAGGGCTGAAGTCAAAGGCATATCCTAGGTACAGTGCTCTCCTGGGCATGTCTATCTTCAGAAACTGTAGAACTTTTTCATGCTCACCCAATGGAGCACTGCTGTACAGCTCTTYGTAGGACTGATCTGTGACACTAGGTACAAGGGAATGTCCATCTGATGACAGGAAGATGCCTTTCTCCCAGATTATGTTAGCCCAAGCCTGAGCTTTCTTTAGGGCTCAAGGAGCTCCTGTTGAAGGGTGATGTCTCCCTCCATGCCACGGGCACTGCAGCTGATCTCACAGTGTTCATCTCATAGCGGGAATCAGAGAAGCTGCCACAAGACACAGAGACCCCACTTCTTCTCCACAACTCTCTGACCTCCTTGTGGCCATTCCAACTGCAGTGAACCTCCATCTAACTAATGCTCAACACAATTTAAGATGTGAGGGAAGCCAGGTCTCAGACTCATGGCCTCGTGGTTGGGAATGTTTCAGGGGCCAAGCCAAGTGCCCAGCAACCCTTCCTTGGAGCTTCAGGCTTGAGCAGCTGGCTCAGCTCAGTTGGGAAGAGTTGTGAAGGCTCCAATGTTTGTCTCCCCAGCAATCCTCCTGTTASTCCACAACAGTCTCTGCAGCTCTCTGACAGCAACCACTGCCTGCCGCAGAAGAGAAGTCACCTCAGCACAAATGAGGGGGCTCTTCATCTCTGTGCTCCACACTCAGCCATTCAGAGCGCCTTCCAGYGATCTTTGCACATCTGGTCTAGGGAAAGGAAATTTGAAATGAACCAAGACTGGTCCCAGGGGACATTCTGCCATTTGGAAGAAAGGCTGCTCGTGAAAGGCGGGGAATGGGAGCAGGACTGCAATGTGTTTCTTTCCTATTTCCTGCCTGATAACTGCTGTGACTGAGAACTGTGGATCCAGTGCCCATCCCTGAACACAGTGAAGATTTGAAAGCAAAACTCCTAAGATATRGTCTGTCTAAAAACCTTGTTGAAAAAGACCTGCTTTCTGCTAAGGTAAGGGCTTCTGCTCTCATTTCTTCTAACGCTTCAGTGATATGTCTTCTTTATGGGACTCCAGACAACTGCAGTTGACAGAAGCAGCATTTCAATCCACATTGGATTCTTCAGATAGCAAATATCCCTCGCATCCCTCTGTCCATTCTGGCATGCAGGAGTTTCCCCATGGGCTCACCTGCCTGATGCAGTCAAGCATAGTAAGGGTAAATCTCTCCTCCACGGCCTCCTTGCCTGACTGGCTGGGAAAAATTTGTTTCATGTTGCATTTCCTTTTATACATGCTTCTCATTCCTTATTTACAGGACATCGGGGTTTGTCCATTTTGTCTGCATGGGGAGAACAGGGGAAGGAAACAAAAATGTGATTGTAGAAATGAAAGAATAAAGTGTAAATGCGTGACACTTCTCTTTGCCTCTCAGGGGTTTATGCAGGGAGGTGCCTTGTCCATTTGGTTGGCGTCAGTACGGTATGGCAGGGCACAAGCTGCAGAGGTTCCCTCTGCACAGGCTTCACAGACACGTCCTGTTCATGTGGCTCCCTGCTGGCCTGGGACAGCCGCTGTGGGGGAAAGGAGAGTTTTTGCCTTGCAGCCTCTCGCCCTGGTGAGTTCTGCAGAGGATGGCAGGCAAAGGGAAAGCCCACTGCTGCTCAGCTGGGAGCAGAGGGCATGTAGGRAGACCCTCTCTGGAGAAGGGAGGACAGGAAAACCCTTGATTCACTGCATATGGGATGTGTCTCCCCACAGAAGGAGCCCAGRTGTGGGGGTTCAGCTGGAGGAACCCCCAGCAGGCTGCTCCACTGGACCCCAAAGTAGAGTGGGGTGAGATGAGAGAGAAAAGGTATCAGGCCAGCAGTTCTGGTCTGAATAATTTCATGTCCAAATAACTGTATAAAAACCCTCAAAAACAAAAGAAACAAACAAACAAAAAAAACCCCAAAGGAACACGGGTCCACGGGTCGATGTCAGTCTTTCCTGGTTTAGGGCTGTAGGCAAGCACTTTCTGCAAGCCCTTTAGACTCTCKCTTTCTGGAGAAAATCAGCCTCGATGCACAAAAATCCCAGCTCCAGCACTGCAGGCTGACCTCTCTGTCCATCCTGCTTCCTATGCATGCTGGCCACAGCCATYGGCAGCAATATGCACCCACGCAGGATTAGGACACCTGCACGAAGCCCACGCTCCCAGGCCACCTCTCCTTCTACAGCAGCCTCCCCAGTAGCTATGGACACTCCTGGGAGCCTTGCACTTTCTCGGGACAGGGACAASGCTGTGGGCCGGCGTGAGGGGTGGGGAGGGTGTTGCCTGTTGACTCTCCTCCCTGCCCTCTTTGACTTTCCACAGCAGTTTCTCACTTCCCCATGCTGGGCAGGAGCTGTGCTTCCTCCCCAGCTGAGCGGCCCTGCCCCGCGGCRCGCAGAAATGCCTAGAAAGGCTGGCGAGGCCGAGGCTCCGCACAGGCTTTCGGAGCGAGTGGGCAAAAGTCAGTGGAAACCCCAGCGCAGGCTGAGAGGACCTGGGGCTACACCCCTGCCCTCTGTCAAACCATGTCCATACAGATAGCGTGGCTGGGAGCCGCTCTCCCTCTTTCACTCAGTTTCCRATCAGGGCTCCCCAAGATGCCCCGTGAAGCACTTGCAGATGTGGGAGCCCCATGGAGAGGGGAAGAGCTGCTCCGACGTGGCCCTCTGTGATGCAGGAGGGCAGCGGAGCCAGGAAGGAGGGCTGGAGGTCCAGCACTTCCACCRCAGCCTGTTATATGCTGCCACTGCCCCCAGGTTGGTGCCTGAGATAAAGGTAACTCCTGGCTGGAGCAAGGCTGAGCTGAGCAGGGCAGAGATGCCTTCCTAGGCTAGGCAGGGGCAGGCACCAGCTCCAAGGTTCAAAGCTGCTATTAGGTTTTTAGGCAGGTTTCCTGAAGAAGCTGTCTGTGCACTTCTCTACTCTCTCCATAACTGTTTGAGCCCCATCAACTGATTACAAACCACACATGTTGAGGATAGATTACAAAGGCATCTAAGTCCTTCCAGTGTTGGTGGCTAAATGAAAGAGATCTTAGYGTTCCTAGAGAAAAGGGAGTTTGTTTCCATCCATTCTCTCGTCCAAGGGGCAGAAAACCGGTGGCCAGCAGCCTGTACCTGATGGCCAGTGGGCACATGTGGCTACACACCAGCCATAGCAGGCATGGAGTGATGAGCATAGCATAGCAGTGGGGTGCTGAGAGCAACAAAGAGGGTGTCCAGGCAAGGCAAGGAGAGGATCAGAGACCTGGGCAGAGGGTGACAGGGCAGCTGGAGGAGAGGGAGGCACTGCAGAGTTGTGGAACATGAGAACTTGGCATGCTGCTGGGCTGGCCACCTCCCT